AAAATTATTATATTTTAAAATATAAAGGCATGAAACATGCTCTCTTTTTATATAAAGTACCGAAAAACAAAAAGAAAAAAATAAAAATGCCCATGTTAAATGGTGAAATTTAAAAGGTTAAAGAAAACACCTTGTTAAATATTGTTGGACCTTTATATTTAAAGATACATTTATAATACACATATGTATTATATATATGCATACACATTTTAAACTATAAATAAGATCATACAGTGTGTATTGTTATAGAATTAGCTCTTTTACTTAGCACGTTTACAGCCATCTTTCCATGCCAATAAATAATTATTTACTTTATTATTTCTAAAGTGTGAAGAGCATTCTGTTGCATAGATGTGACAAAATTTAACCAAATCTGTACTATTGGATATTTGTGTTGTTCATAGTTTTTCATTATTGTAAGCATTTCATCATTTTACATTATTGAAATTTTTAGTTTTTATTATTATGCCAAATATTATGCTCATTATTTTTTCATTTCTATTCAAAGTCACCAAGAAACTTTTAGCTCTTGTTGGCAGGAGAGGCATAGGTCCAAAGAACTAAAAATCAAGGAGCACCTGGGTTTAAGCTGGAAGAAAGTGACCTGAAGTTGCAAGGACTTGGGCATCCTATCAATAGAAGAATAAGCCATTCAGTATTTAACACAAATAAAATGATTTTTTTACTAATTTAGCAAAGGAAAAGATCCTTACATTTTTGAAAACCATCTTTATTTTCCCCCCACAGTTTTTAAAGAAGATATAAGCAATGCTGAATGTTCTAAAAATAGAAAGCACAGGTGAGTGGGTAAATGTTTTCTCATTCCTGTCCATTTCTACTGTGAAAGCCTCAACACTGTGTCTATTATTTCAGTTACCTCCTAGTCCTCAACAAGTGGCAGCTTCCAGGGAAGCAAGCAAGATCCATGGGAAAAAGTTGAATGCCTTTAAAACTGAACTTGAAATCCAAGTTTATTGAGAAAGACAAACAACAACAAACATGAATGAGCTGTTCTCAAACTGGAGACCGCCCATGAAGCTCTACAATGTGCCGTCCAACGTGACTATTGAGCACTTGAAATGTGTCTAGGGTGACTGGGAACTGAATTTTTCATTTTATTTAATTTTAATTAATTTAAATTTAAAACTGGAGCAGTATAAAGTGTTTTCCTATAATATAACTCTATTGTTTTGTTAGGGGTACGTTTCACTTGAACTATTGCATCACATCAGGTACTGTATTGTAGTGCATATGTTGGACACACGTGTCTTTCCTAGTGTTACACATAAACAAATAATCAATTAGTTGGTATCAATAGATTGATTCAGTTCAAATTATTTTTTTCTATGCATTGGTATAGCACAATAATGTGTTTGTTTGAATATTGTGTGCAGATAGCATGAGTTACAATGATACTCATAAATTGAAGTGTTCATTATTTTAATTTTTAATATAACTAAATTATTTTTCTAGTTAAATATAAGCATGAATGAATTTTAAATTTAAAATGATAGATCAGAGGGCAGACCCCATGGACAAGTGGTTGAGTTCACACACACCGTTTCAGCAGCCTAGGGTTTCACTGGTTTGGATCCTGGGTGCAGACACGGCACCACTCATCAAGCCATGCTGAGGTGGCGTCCCACATAGCACAACCAGATGGACCTACAAATAGAATACACAACTATGTACTGGGGTGCTTTGGGGGGAAGAAGAAGTTAAAAAAAAGATTGGCAGCAGATGTTAGTTCAGGTGCCAATCTTTAAAAAGAAAAAGATACATGAATGGATAAAGAAGATATGGTATATAAAATGGAATATTACTCAGCCATAAAAAAAGAATGAAATCTTGCCATTTATGACAACATAGATGGACCCAGAGGGTATTATGCTAAGTGAGATAAGTCAGACAGAAAAGACAAATACCATATGATTTCACTTATACATGGAATCTAAAAAACAAAACAAACAAGCTAACAAGACAAAACAGAAACAGACTCATAGATCCAGGAAAAAACTGGTGGTTACCAGAGGGGAAGGAGTTGAGGGGGTGGGCAAAACAGGTGAAGGGGATTAAAGGGTACAGACTTCCAGTTATAAAATAAGTCAGTCATGGGGATACAGTGTATAGCATAGGGAATATAGTCAATAATGTTGTAATAACTTTGTATGGTGACAGATGGTGAGTAGACTTATTGTGACAATCATTTTGTAATGTTTATAAATATTGAATCACTATGATGTACACTTGAAATAGGATATTGTATGTCAATTATACTTTAATAAAAAATTACAAAACAAAAATAAATAAATAAAACGAAGGCATACTACTGATGAAGAATTGAGTGGAGATGCAGAAGTATAAAACAGTAAAGAAAAAATGAGACTGGAGGAAATTATGTTGCATATTTCACAGTGAATGGCATTGCAATTTGCTGTGGTGGAACAAAGTGAAAAAGCCTCTTTTTGTGTAAAAGAATATTTTTTAAAATAATAAAGTGGCAATATTAAGAGACATTTTCAGCAAATACATATGAATTTGATAAAATGTTTCCTCTTAACAATCAAAAAAGTTGATGAGAGGAGTCACATGAAATCAGAATTTAATGTCCAATACATTATTTTTAAATGATTTTAAGGGGATCTGAGCTATAACTTTGGCCAGCTATAAAACTGCTTGCATTGTTGCACACATACAAACACATGAACACACACACACACACACTATTAATTAATTAATTTATTTTTGGTGAGGAAGATTGGCCCTGAGCTAACATCTCTACTAATCTTCCTCTGTTTTGTATGTGGGACGCTGTCACAGAATGGCTTGATGAGTGGTGTGTAGGTCCAAACTCATGAACCCTGGGTTGCTGAAGTGGAGCACATGAACTTAACCACTACGCCACCAGTCAGGACCTCACACACTATTTAGATGGAGAGATGGTAAAAGAAATTATTATTTCAGTTATGGAAATTTTGATAGAAAATTATAAGAGAAAGTAAAAAGATAGTTTGCAAAAAGTGAAAGATCTTCAATTAAGCCACTAAGCAATTGTCCGAACATGACCTTTCTAACAATATAAAAGTTTAATTGATTCAAAATTTGAAATATTGCAAGTATTTTTCTTCAGCTTTAGATACCATGCACCATGATGATATTGCCCAATTAATATTTCAGCTACGTTTTGCCTCAAAAGGCTTCCATATTTGTGAAGTGTTGTCAATTTGTGACCTAAAATTAAACTCACAATTACATATTTTTTGTGTCTTTTACATCTGTCGAAGGACAGTTTCCAATAGATTTGCAAAAAATTCTTTCTTCTTGTAGTGGAGGGTGCTCCAACTGTGTCAGGTCAAAAATCCAAATTTGTTGGAAACTGATGTTTCCCTTATATGATATACATGATGTATATTGAAAATATTTGCACTCAGTTTGCTAAGGCAGACTCTATGAAAGTGTTACGGATATAGTTGTTAAAATATATATGTACAAATGCTGTTAATCATCAGGAGTTTATGAAACTGTTGAAAGAAATAGAAGACAATGAATTTAATGATCTTGTGTTCTTTGCCAACACTCCTAGGTTGAGTTGTGGAAGAGCTTTGCAGATTACTGTATTGTAACCCCTATTTTCTTGGAACAAAAGGAATGTTGGCCAAATATTCAATTATCAAAGATAAAAATGGCAGTGTGATTTACATTTTCTCACTTATATTATACCGCCTATGAATGAACTAAATTTGAAGCTCCAAGGAGAGAGAAAAGTTATTTGTGACCTAGCTAGACAGACAGAACTATTTATATTGAAATGGAAACTTTCCATAATACAAATTAATAATAATGATTTCACACATTTTTTATAACATGAATCAATATGCAGAGTATTTTCATGAAAATTGGCTGCCAACAGTACAAGGAAAATTTGAACGCTGTTGATATTGACAAATTTAGAGTTGTATTTAACTTTATTAAATAGTTTTTTGAATTTTGTGTTAATAATCCTTAGTGGACATAGGAGAGAGTGAATTTATTTAACTTGGACAGATGTAGTTTTGAAATTGATAGGCTTTTGCTTCAAAGTCAAGTCAAATCTTCTTTAAAGTTTTATCAATGTGAATGTAAATATTATTAAAGGAAATTGATTTTTGGATAATTGATTCAATTGTTGGAAAACTAAGTATGTTTGTAACAACTTGGGTATAGAAATCTATTTTTTTAACTGTAAATTTTATGAAATCTAAATCAAAGTATTTCTGCGTATATGCATTATGATATTCTGTAAATATAAAATCTACCCTGGATGTTGAAGACTTAGTATGAATAAAAGAATGTAAAATATCTCAATACGTTTTTGTGTCCATTACATGTTGAAATTATAACATTTTGGACATATTGGGTTAAATAAAATATATTAAAATTAATTTCACCTATTTCTTTTTTACCCTTTTTAACGTGGTAACAGCAAATTTAAAATTACATATGTTGTTTGCATTATATTTCTGTTGCACAGCACTTGCCCCAAAGTCTCCGTGTTATGGATTTTGTCAAATAGTTCCCAAGTCCCAAAGGTATCAGTTCTAATTCTATATAGCATCACCCAAATCAATGTCAATTGTCATATAATGCCAAGTTGTTTGTAAGTCGCTGCCCCACTCATATCCTCCCGCAGTGTGAACTGGAGCATCTGTTTGTGAGGTGCTTAGTTGGAGTTCAAGGTCCAGTCTGTGCCCTTGGAGCTGAATTTCCTTGAACTTCGCCTGTCCGTGGAGGAACTGCAGCTGTGGCCCTGGACTGGTTATAACTGACTTCCATCAACCGAGGGAAACCCCGACTGGGAGGGCAACCAGAAATCCAGTCCTTTAGGATTATGTCAGTCAGTATTGCTATGCTCACCTGTGCCTGAAAACAAATGAGATCATAATGCCAAAGTCTTTGTGAGATAAGACAACAGCTGGAATCATTGTGTAAGTTCCTGAAAGAGGACCGAGACCAGCCAGAATCAATACATTCCTGAGCCTGATTAAGGAGAGATTGCCCCAGAGAGAAAAATAATCTGGAAGTCTCTCCCTATGTCTGCTAGCCACATTTTCCATACTGTCTTCATGTCTGGATTTGGCCGGATTCAGGGTATTTGTGGTAATGATATCTTGTGGTTTAAAAGAGCAATTACTGGACTTAAGTCAGAGGATCTGGGTGAGAGGTCTCATATTATTGTTGACTGAATAAATGACTTTGGGTAGATTACATAGTCTCCCAGTTTTCCCTTCTGGATTAGATCAGATGATCTATAAGATACGTTCTGGAACCAAGATTTTGTGTTTCTAAATTATTCTGGCAGTAGCTGAGACAATGAAGCCCAAACTGTGTAAAACTCACTTAAAATCTTAATTCCATTTTGAGAATGGGAATGGAAAGCTACCATTTTCCTTCTTCTTCATCAGAAGAGGATGAGTGTGGAAGAATACACTCGTGCAATTTTCTATTTACAGAGAGTCACTATTACATTGTTTTACAAGAGCTGCTTGATATTTTCCCTTATCAAAAATAAAGTAGCAAGAAGGAAGATTTAGGAATGCAGCTGTGTTTCTAATCTTGCTCTTCATTTATAAGTGTGGGACCCTAAAAATGAAAGACTGTATATATAATAGCATTATGGAAAAAATGACCAAGGAATCATTTCTTTTTCTCACTCATTTGATAAAGCCTTCAAATGTTAGTCTGAATTAACTTTTAGTGGTAGAAGTAGAAACTAAGTCTCCAGAGTAGATAATTTTTATGCTAATTTCCTGCACTTCAGTGTACACAGTTATTACAGGGCATGTGAATGATCCATTCACTGAATGAAGAAAAATTATTCCAAATGATTATTGATGAGTTAATCAAGACAGCCATGTCAACTTTCTTTATCCATTAGTGGTAACATCTACAGCATTTCACAATCATAATAATAAAAGAGCCAAATGCTAATGGGCGAGGTAATCAGACCTTAATGAAGAACAATGAAAAATCTGCTTTTTAAAATAGTTTACAGTTTTCATAATCACTGAAGTGGTCAGTTAGTCCCAAGATTCTTCATATTTCATAATGTGTTTGCAATTTTTTCTTCATCTCAAAGATAGTTGGGTTTTCCTAATGTAAGAAAGGGTGGAAATAAACAGAGAGGGATTCCTCTGTTTAAATGAATACATATTTAAAAAACTATTCATATTGCAGTGGTGACAAAACATGGGAACCTCTATCCATTTAAAAACTCACAATTATACTTTTATGCTTTTTCTCCTATCTTTATCCTTTCACTCAAATTGGGTAATTATACGAATATAAGCTCAGGTAAGCTTAGACTTGCAACTGTATTATAATTGTTTATTTTATACATGGTTTAAATTTATATTGGTTTATTGGTTCTGATACCCTTATGTACTGCCGTAATGATCTGAGGACCTGCCACCCACAACCCACTTTTGAAAAAGACACTTTAAAGTGGTTCCTTATGAATATGTCACTGTATTTTATATCATATGACCTCATTACCCTGGCAGCATTAACAAAATATTCTAGGCAGTGGCTACTGACTCGAAGACACTCAGTTATCTGTAGTTGGCCTGTGACCCACAGATAGCTTGACACAAAAGCTCTGCCCCTAAAGACACACTATACTGAAGGTTGACTGGGCAACACAATCAGATTCTTTGGGCATCTGAATGTGAGAGATACCAAGAGATATAGGAGACAGTAGAGTGGTACAGAGAAACAGCAGTGCACAGAATCCATGAGTAGAAGTCCTCAGTAAGCAGAAGCCATGAGGTGGCCATGGAGTGGGGAGTCAGTAGCAAGCAGTTCTGCAGATCTTTGCAGTAAGCCATGAGTATGGCAGCATGGCTTTTCTGGTGGTACCACTCCGAGAGCTGCTGCTGAGTCAAGAGAGCTGTTATTGGATGATGAGATCTAGTGTTGCATCCTGAGGAACTTCTGGTTCTCTGTAGGGTTTGGTTATGCCAGTGGTTTTCAAAATATTGCCTGTGATTCCCTAGGGCTTCCAAGAAACTGTATAGGGGCTTCCATAAGGGAAGAGGGGGAAACCAAAAGGACGGAATATTCCCTCACCCCTAGCATTGGCCACAGTTGTGCTCTTTGCTGTGTTTTGCATTTTTTTCCACATAAAATTTCATGAGAAGGAAGGGTTCTACTGCCGTTAAAAGTTTAAAAATCATTGTCCTTTCAAGGTTTTGCGATTTGCATCTTAAAGGAAATCCACTTTAACTTTTGTTGAACATCATCTTAAAATATGAAACCAAACGGCCAGCCTGGTGGCATAGCGGTTAAGTTCTGGGCTCTGCTTTGGCAGCTGGGAGTTTGCTGGTTCGGATCCCAGGCAGGGACCATGCTGGGGCAGCGTCCCACATACAAAATAGAGGAAGAGGGCACAAATGTTAGTTCAGGGCTAATCTTCCTCAAAGGAAAAAAAAAGAATTCAGAATCTACAACGTTATGAAAAACTTTTAAAATTTTACACTTATCCTACCCACTTGATTCAAAGACAATTCAAACATTCAACTAAGTTTTTACAGAAACAATTCTCTTTTCTGCATTCACATTGTATTTATATGAGTTTATATAACGTCACTAAATTACATAAGTCAAGGAACAAATAGCACCAGCATAAATAGATTTGGAAACAAATGCAGTTGACTCTTGGTAAGCAGACAGCTTAATCGGAAGTGCATGCTGCAGGGTTGTCTATAGTTGCAAGTATCCAGCATGTCTTAGTCGTCAATCGAACTATCTGTTATTAACAAATATTATTTATGGAATGTGCTCCCCTTCAAGGCCTCAAGCTCTGTTTCTGACATGCTAAATTCCCATATATATTTTTTTTCTACTAAGCACAAAGCTATAACAGCCAACGAGTTGGACAGAAAGGCTTCTCCCCTGTGGTTCAGCCAGAATTATGTTTTATTATATTAAGAATACATCTTATGTAGTCTTGTATAGCCAAAGGTCAGATGTCATTGAAAGAATGAGAGAAAGCCAATCTGAGGTTGTAAAATCAATGGATTTTTAAAACAAAGAAATGCTGTTTTATTACTTTAAAGTGTACAAGATAGCCTGCATTAACCTGACAGTTTGGTTTCGAATGGAGAATCTCAATGATCTGATGGTCACATATCAACTGTTAGTATGTAAGCAGTTATTGGCATGTAAAGAAGCATGTCTTATACTTAACACTCAATAAAATTGAATGAATGAATTTTTGAAGTATGTGGGTGCTTTAGAGTGCTGAAAAGTTACTTTAAAATCTTCATCTCTGTAATACTTAACATGTTGATTTACTTACTAAATTATTAGATTTCTTAAAAAAGGTTTCCGAGGCTTCTCTCAGAGTTGTGGCATCTGGTGTTTTGTTTTCCTCGAGAGCACATTATGACGTATGGCGGAGTGATTAACAGCATGGACTCTGGGGTCAGAGTTCACATCTCAGTTCTACCACTTGTTTGAAATATTGGGCAAGTCACTTGACCTCAGTTTCCTCATCTGAAAATGGGAGTAATAACAATTTCCACCCCAAGGACTTCTTATGAGCTTTAAATATGATAAATAATATTTGTTAATGACAGATAGTTCGATTTAATGAAAACACTATCCTTTCTGTGTTGAATTGTCTTAATCTCAAAAATTGTTGACCATAGATGTGTGGATCTATTTCTAGATTTTCAATTGTATTCCACTGACCTAGGTGTCTATCTTTCTGTTAATACCACGTTATCTTGACTATTATATCTTTATAATAAGTCTTGAAATCAAGTAGTGTTAGTAATCCAACTTTGTTCTTCTTTTTCAAAATTGTTATGGCTATTCCAGATTCCTAGGATTTCCATATGGATTTTAGAATCAGCTGCTCAATTTCTAGAAAAACGCCTGCTGGGGTTTTGATTGTGCTTGCATTTAATTGATAGATCAGTTGTGGGAAAATTTATCTCAATGATATTGAGACTTCTGATGTATGAACAAGGTATATTTGTCTATTGTCTTCTTTAATTTCTCTCAGGGATGTATTGTAGTTTTAAAATGTACAGGTCTTACACATCGTTTATCAGACTTAACCCTAAATATATCATATTTTTGATGCTGTTGTAAATAGTATTGTTTTGTTAAATACAATGCCTGTTCATCACCAGTTTATAGAAATACAAATGGGTTTTGTAGATTCCTCTTGTATCCTATAACCTTGCAAAGTTTATTAGTTCCAGAAGTTCTTTTACAGATTTCATCAGATTTTCTACATACATGATTATGCCATTTGTGAATTAATAGTTTTACTCCTTCTTTTTCAATCTAGATGCTGTTTATTTCTTTTTATTTCCTTATCACTGATTAGAACTTCCAGTATAATGTTGAAAAGGAGTGAAGTGGGTGTTCTTGACTTGTGCCTTATTTTAGTGGGGAAGCATTCAGTCTTTCACCATTCAGTATGATGTTAGCTGCAGATTGTCGTAAATGCCCTTCATAAAATTGGGAAAGTTCCCTTCTATTCCTAGTTTGCTAAGAATTTTGTATTAGAAATGTATATTGATTTCTGCCAAATGCTTTTTCTGCATTTATTGTGATAATCATCTAGTTTTACTTTTATAGCGTTGATATGATGGATTACATAGATTGATTTTTGAATGTTAAACCAACCTTGCATTTCTGGCATAAACACCACTTGGTCACGATATGTTATCTTTTTTATATATCATTGTATTCAATTTGTTAAAATTGCATTTAGAATTTTTGCATCTATGTTCATGAAGGATATTGGTATGTAGTTTTCTTTTCTTCATGTTTTTGTCTGGTTTTGGTATCAGAGTAATTCTAGCTGTGTAGAATGAGTTAAGAAGTATTCCCCTCTCTTCAGTTTTCTGGTAGAGCTCATGTAGAGCTGGTTTTATTTCTTCCTTAAGTGTTTGATAGAATTCACCACCTGAGGCTGAAGTTTGCTTTGTGGGCAAGTTTTAAACTAGGAATTTAAATTTTTTTTTAAAGATTGGCACCTGAGCTAACAACCGTTGCCAGTCTTCTTTTTTCTTTTTGCTTTTTCTCCCCAAATCCCCCCAATACGTAGTTGTATATTTTAGTTGTGGGTCCTTCTAGTTGTG